TGTGGTTGTGGTTGGGTTTGTTATTAGGTTTTTGTTTTCGTTTGTATTTGTAATTGTGTTAGCGTTATGTTTGCGTTTTGTTGTTTTGGTTTTGGTTGGTTGTGGTTTGGGTGGGTAATGCTGGGTTTATGATGATTACTAAACACACAGGTAATGGTCTTTAACAGAAAGGTTTTTCACAGAAGCCAGAGCAGGGCCTGGCCGGGACGGCTAGTATATATATATCACTTCCACGTCTATAATTCTGGACACATTTTTACACATAACTGAACCTGTTATCAAAATATTGCTTTAAACTTCTTTAAACCGGCTTAGACTGGCGAACGACGTACGTCAAAAGCCGAACTCGACCGTTATTTTCATGACGTCATGAAGCGTGCTGACCTCGCGACGAACTCTGCTGACGTCCTTGCCAAGAAAAGATTCGGGTGTAACAATTAAGGCATAACGTCTAATTATCTGAGTAAATAAGGTCAGCCAGCCGCTGGGACTACGTGCACCGATGCAGGGAAATAACTCTGCCAGATGCTCATGGTCGGAGTGATTGCAAATAGCGAGGGAACAACGCCTAGTGATAAGTAGACACCTAGGTCAAGGGGACTGTTATGTTGTTAGTGGTGGGTGGGGATTTGTGGGTGGGTTTGTTGGTGGGGGTTTGTGGGTGGGGGTTTGTGGGTGGGGGTTTGTGGGTGGGGATTTGTGGGTGGGGGTTTGTGGGTGGGGGTTTGTGGGTGGGGGTTTGTGGGTGGGGGTTTGTGGGTGGGGATTTGTGGGTGGGGATTTGTGGGGGGGATTTGTGGTTTTTTTTGTGTGGGGATTTGTTGGTGGGAATTTGTGGGCGGGGATTTGTTGATGTGAAATTGTTGGTGGGGGTTTGTGGGTGGGGGTTTGTGGGTGGGGGTTTGTGGGTGGGGATTTGTGGGTGGGGATTTGTGGGGGGGATTTGTGGTTTTTTTGTGTGGGGATTTGTTGGTGGGAATTTGTGGGCGGGGATTTGTTGATGTGAAATTGTGGGTGGGGATTTGTGGGTGGGGATTTGTGGGTGGGAATTTGTGGGTGGGGATTAGTAATACCTCCCTAAATCAATTAAATAATTAAACCAATATTTTGTTTGGAACATCACTAAGCTGTAGCAGAGAATTTGAAAATAAATCAAATTTAATTACCGAAAGAAGTTTACTGCGACATTAAATTAGACATCATTTAGCCCATTCATATGAGGTTGGTGATTTACAAATTCTTGTCTTATAAAATAACCAATTTATCTGAAAGTTCCGTAATAGACAAGTAAGTGTATCAAGCAGGTAAAACAGAGTTCATCGACGTACGAAATGGGTAGTGTGGTCATCTTTATATCCAGTCGCATATTAAGTCCTCGAATTAAGCCAGGTACCCATTAGAGCTGGGTATGCTCAAGGTCGTCCTATGGACTTGATCCCGTGATTCGAACTCGCGACTTACGTTTTACATATCACGCGCTCTACCTCTCAACACACGTTTTAACATTCAAGTTATTAGTTACACTAATTAATAAGTTAAACTAATCAACAATTGAGGGAGCAATCTTGAAATACCGAGGTCACGGTGACATAGATACCGCAGTTCAACTTCGTTCAACGTTTTTGCCAGTAGCCTCCCTGTCTCAGTGTTCAACCCCGGGTCAGCTCCGGGTCAGTCCCGGGTCACTACCGGGTCACTACCGGGTCACCGCTGGGTCAACACTTCCCCACAATACCGGGTCTATAGCTCGGAGATAAATGCATCAAAGCGCTTTTATTCCCCCCACCCCCCATCTCCACCCCCAGAATTCCTTGGCTGGAAGTCTTGTCTTAAGTCACGTGTGTGCGACTTCCGTCTGACAGACCGGAAGTCCATATCGCTGCGTCCACGAAGACTCGGAGCATGCCGGTTCCATTCTACGCATGCGCGGTATTGAAAAATACACGTACTCGATATCTCTGTCACACACGCAAAGCACGCGCACGCACATACGCACTCACGCACACACAAATAAATAACTTGGCCAGAAAAAAAATTCACTGACGATTACGTAACGGACACACCCAGTGTGCTATGTCAACAGTCCTCTCACAAAACCCACACAATGCTCTCACACTACCCACACCATCCTTCCACACAACCCACACCATCTACCATACCATCCTCCCACACAACGCCCACCATCCTTCCACACAACCCACACCATCTACCATACCATCCTCCCACACAACCCACACCATCCTCCCACACAACCCACACCATCCTCCCACACAACGCCAACCATTCTCCCACACAACCCACACCATCCTCCCACACAACCCACACCATCCTCCCACACAACGCCCACCATCCTCCACACCATCCTCCCACACAACCCACACCATCCTCCCACACAACCCACACCATCCTCCCACACAACCCACACCATCCTCCCACACAACGCCCACCATCCTCCACACCATCCTCCCACACAACGCCCACCATCCTCCCACACAACCCA